GTGATATTGAGGGGAGCTTGCAGATGCATTCCAGTTGACGACAAGATTAAGTGCCCAGAGAAGATCTATCAGCTAACTCTCCACCTTTATCTACTTTATTCTGAAGTAAAGTCGGACCTTGAGTATGAAGCAGCTCAATATCTCAGGAAAGGCAAGCGCGAATACAGTAGGATAGCCTATGAATGCCTGCACAGACTATTTGGACTAAGGTCCATGGCCCACATAATCATACTTACAAACCGAACACGCCTACCAACATAAGAAGGAGGGAGACGAGTCTAAGCTTGTAAGAGTAGAACTCCGCAATAAACCAATCCGGTAAGAAGTAAAAATATTGTGCAAAAGTAAAGTAGCTCCTACACTAATTCCAATGATTGAAGTTGCATTAATATAGAGTTATATACCACTAAAGACTCAGAACAGTATATAGCGAGAATGGCTGTTTCTCCAAATATTCGTATGTATTTTTAATCTAAATAATTAAATACATTTCACGAAGACTAACATAACCTCCAATAATAAGGCATTACTGTCCTGAATACGTTATTGGAAAAGAGGGAGGAAGAGAGTAGGGGAAATAAAAGGATAGAGAACACAAGAGAAGAAGGAAGAAAGGGTAAAATAAAAGAAGAAGAGGGAAAAGGACAAACGGGGGAAGAATAAGAACCAGCAGGGATCAGAAAGAAGTAAATAGTACAGAGCAAAAAATTGAAAGGGAAAGACACAAGGGGGAAAGAGAGGAGAGAGGGAAGAAAGAAAAAGAAAGACAGGGGTGGAGAGGTAGGAGAGAGGGTGGAGAACGAGAAAAGAGACGACCGAATAGAAACAAACAAAAGCAGCAAGAGGGTAGGAAAAAGGGGAGAGGGGAAAAAAAACATACCGAATGTGGACGAACGGAAAAATGTGATGGAGCGATAGAAGGAAGAAGAGGAGGAGGAGAAAACGGGAAAAGTCCCGAAGAAGAATTAAAAAGAAAAAACGGGGAAAGAAAGGGTAAAAAAAAGGAAATGAGGAGGAGTGGAAGATTTGATGCCGGAAGTCTTGAAGGAGGCTAGATAGTTGACACGCAAATCAGACGAAGCACGAAAGACGCAAGGTTAGGAGAAACAAGAACGCAAAGTAAGACCAAAAGGGATGGGTCAGAAAAAACGAGGGGGAGAACGGAAAGAGGAGAAATGAAAAACAACGAAGCAGTGTAAAAGAGAAATTACACCACAAAGAAAGATGAGAGAAGTTGAGAAAGCTGGGAGTGGAGACAACCACAAGGAAAAATAGGAAGTGGAGTGGGGTAATATCGAAGCATGGTGCCAAGGGAAAAGTGCAATAAGACGCGACAGAAAAAAGCGACGGAAGCGTTGCAGCCTAAGGGGCAAAAGTCTCGAGGTCTGAGACAAGCATATAGGCAAGGACGGGCGTCGAGAGAGGCCCGAGATGCCCTCCTGCCCTTCTTCCACTCCTCGCGATCCCCCCCCCCCCCCCCCTTTTCTCTCCCACTTTTCCCTGTTGCTCCTCTCCCCCCCCCCCCCCCCCCCCGCTCCACCCAGTGCTACCCGCCTCGCTGACACAGTTTCAGCCCGCGCTTTCTCCGAGATATAACTGAGCACGTATCCATACCAAGCCGACCATCCGCAATAAAGAGAATAGTGAGAGCTAAGCAGTCTTCTTCGGCCAACTAATTTTTACCTGGTACATGCATACTGCAAGCTCCACTTCTACATTCATCACGACCGCACCGGAATTTTTCGTGAGTCCAAGGCGTCATCCCTAGGATCGCCACTTTTCCATGCACAGTGATATTTATTCTTTCCACAGTACACGCTTCAAGTAGCCGTGTCGCATACCATAAACCTGCCATAGTGCCATATTGTCCACAGTGTCAAATGCTTTCTCGTATTCAAGGAAGTAGATGTATGGTGGTGAGCTCCATGCGATTGATTGTTCCACAATGATCCGTAGTATAGCGATTTGGTCGGTACACGATCGATTTTAACGAAATCTAGCCGGCTGACCTCGAAGTTGGGCGGCTGTTGAATCTTTCACTCTATACAACAACACTCTGTCGAAGAGGTTTCCTGATATTGAGAGTAGAGTTACGCCTTTGTGATTTTCACACATGCTAAGATCTCCTTTCTTCGATATCTTAGTGGAGTATGCATCTTATTATTCTTTTGTTACATGTTCTTCCCTCCAAATCTTGCTGAAGAGAACGTAGAGCGGTTTTCCAGTTACTTCCATGTCCGATCTTAGAGCCTCGGTCGTTTGTTATTGTCTAATCCTGCTGCTCTGCTACTCTTTGTTTATCTAATGGCCAGGCTGTTAGCCTCTTTGTTGTATCGTATGGGTGTGTCACGTTTAGTTTTCTTGTAGTTCTTTCTGTCATGGTTGTTTGCCTTTGTGTATTTAGCCTGTTCCTTGACTTTGCCTGTTCTTGTTCACTTGTTATTGACTGTTTCCTTCCTGTTTTTCATCTCTCCAGTCTCAATTATAGTATCATCAATAATCCATTCTTTGTGATGCTGCTTCTTGTTGTACAAAACCTTATGACATGCTGATGTTAATGTTTCTTGGATTCCTTTACATTTGTTTTCGATGGTAGTTTCGTCTCCACTGAGCAGATCGTGAAAGCCTTGGAATTTATTGTTGTGAGATATTTAGAATTAATTTAACTTGTCAGTATGCCGAAAAAATGTATTAAAATTTTGTATCACTGTTCACCCAGTCGCTTTGTGCTTCTTTAATTTGGGTTTCGTCTTGGTCACCACCTTGTGAAGAAATGAAACTATGTCAGCTGGTCTATATGTTCTCACTTCCTCCATAGTCCTTCTGAACTTTTTATTGATGCAGATAAGATTGATCCGGTTAAATCCATGCTGCTTTGTGAATGCATTTGTGTGAGAATATGGTGCCGCAAACAGGTTTGCGAATCCCTCCCAGCCCTAATTTAACTGAAAATTTAATGAATAGCTTACATTAGAGTAAGTTATTGAGTTTAGGAAATTTGATATTATCAAAATTCATATACTTCTAACAATGAAACACTCTATCATCCTGAAGAAAGTATTTTTTAGCATATTAATTTATTTATTTCCAAGTGATGAATAAAACCATGAACTGTGACGATTAAAATAACATTATCATAAATTTTCAGAAAATAAAACACATATTCCGAGTGGTACAACAAGATTTAAATGTGATAAATACGTAAAGTCTCTCATTCCATCTTTACGAAAGCGGAAGTAGTACAATTGATTATATTCACTTAAGTTGAGCATCATCTACATGGTTTCCTTCATCGATTTGAAAAGATCATGATTGTTTGTTATTTTATTTGATTGCTTGAGATGAACATCCCAAAGGTGTGATTTCAAATGTAATAACCAAAACATCTATTTAAGTGCATTTTTATTGGCTTGAACAATATTTAATCAATTATAACAGTTGTGTGATACATTCTCTCCTACCTCGAACTGACTTTTCTCCAGAGCATCAACTCAACCAACATTTCCATTGTTTATTCGTCCTAATGTTTTGAACAAAAATG